TAATCTACTTCAACCATCTATGTTATACTGGTCATGTGGATTCTGATCAGTCACCAGATTACACAGACACTACAGTCACTGTCTGAACCATAGCATGCCATGACCACATGGCCATAGTGAGAATTTTGGCTTAATGTAAGATATCAGAAATGATACCCCAAGGACACAGGTGCCCCACAAGAGCTATTATATATTTATTATACATGATGTGATTTGGCATTAGCTAGAGTAATAATATTTTCAGCAAATGGGGGGAAAGGTTCAAAGCAAAGGACACTCTGGGAGAGAGAGGAAGCAGACAAAGAGAGAGAGGGGGGGGGGGACTGGACATTATCCAGATGCTTCAGCTCAATCTCAGAAATGGCTCTTAGCCTAGAGAATCCTTAAATAACTACCTCTCCCTAACAGAGTGCCATTCAAGCCGTCAAAATATTTTGCCACTATTCCTGCTGGCAGACATGCTGTCAGAGCTCGTCATCATTTACACAGCTTATACCAGGTGGCATCATGTCACCATTTGTTTTTCTAAGTCTCATTCCAGGTTGCTGCTGGTGAAGCTTTACAAATCCTGAAGGTGACAGCAGTGGATCCTGCTAGCCTGTACAGCAAAGCCACTTTATTAGTGGTCAGCCCGAAGCCAGGACTGCAACAGTGATGCAGACAGCTTCTGACTAGAATATTAAGACAGTAATTTGCAGCTAAACTTCTCTGAATTTCTTATGTGATTTTCTAACCCAATATGACCGTTTGTAAACTGCAGATATTTATGTAAACAGGGATTTATGGCCCTAAATATTCCATTTTTTCTGTTTGTGTTGTGAATCTCTGATCAAATCTGTACATGCTTCAGGGTTTTATACTGGAGTCATTTTTTCCCCAAATGAACGCAAACAAATGAAAAAGTAACCACGAAACTTCTCAATTGCCTTGTTTTTAAATCCAGTGGAAATGGTAAAAGTTACAGCTTTTTTTTTCTTCTTCAGAGGTTCAAATGCTGCCTTGCAATAATTGACTTGTTTTGCTCCACATTAAGTGGTTTGTGGGTAAAAGCAGAGTGAGTAGCACCATGCAGATAAACGCAGAAAATAGAAACTTCAAAGCAGATACATAAACCATTTTAGTGTCAGGGTGAGCTGGTAGAGTTTTACGATTGAAAATTGTGTAATTGCACAGTTCAGAAGAAGAAAAATTGACTTCTATCATTGAGACTGTACTTTCTTTAGCTACAAGTATATGAAAGAAGGTCTACCAAAAAGGAAAAGCAAACAAGCTTTGGACTGCAGGCTTGGTCAGTAGAGTTCAATAAAATTGTTTTTGCCTGATCTTAGATGAACTGCTTTCAATATGCAGCTCCCTTTTCCTCGGGCACAGGATTTATTTTAGTCAAGTACAATTTATCTTTGATCATATTAGAATTTTTGGCTTCAGCTGTATGGTGTAAAGTGGCCTTAACTACAGCACTGAACCACCAGGGCTTCCAGTTCATGTGGCCTTAAAGCACATAATCTATTTGCTATAATTAGTTTCAGCATCAGTACGATAGGCTGGCCATGCGGCTAGCACCGTCTTCCTGGGTAATTTCCCTCATATCTGCTAACCACAGCACCCTGCCCACTATTATTTTCTCCAAGGGCTGGATGACATTTGGAATCATGGTGTAGAAATGTGGGTTCACACAGCAAAGCTTTTGGCAACCAAGCTTTACCACAACAGAGCTAAAGAGGGCAGATAAAGGTTATGAATTTAGTTCTAACCTTGACCGGTTATAAAAGGTCACTGCTGTTTTTGTAGGGAGTTCATTTACAAGTTGTTTCAGAAAGTCATGCTTCGTATGGTATGTTCTGTTGCAGAGTCTGACTTTTGAATACCAAGAATAACAACACTACATACTGTTTACATTAGTAAAGATGTACAGATGTTTGTACACATTCATATTCATAGCAATAATTTAATTATTAAACAATTAAAAGTTGTCCGAAATTACAGTGTATAATGAATTGGGTAGTACCAGTAAAACAAGGCTTCAAGACTTCTTCCAACTAAATGTGTCTAAATTCGCTGCTTCTCAGCTCAAGGACAGCAATCTCTCAGAAGACAAAGGGGGCCGGAGCACACTGATTAATTTGCAGTCTTTAATTTTACAAATACTTAAGGGCTGTGAATTAATCAGTGTGTTTCTGTTCCTTTTGCTCTTCTCGAAAAGTTACTAAATCTGAATTTTAGAATAGAAAACTAATTTGAAAATACAATCCACACAGTAAAAGTGCATTTAGTGAATCCTCAGGCTTGCTCTAACTATTACTATAAATACAACTAGCAAATCAATAAACTCAGCTTCTCTCTCACCCGCTATCTGTGGCTCAGCACAATTGCTGTAATGAATTTAGATGCTAAAAGTAAATAAAATGAAAACTGACATCCTGTTCCATAATCTTAGGAGCATGAAAAAAAAAACACAAGTTTGTGAAGACGTTTCACCTCTCATCCAAGAGCCTTCTTCAATTCTAAAAACAAATGGTGCCCAGTGAGGTTTTTCCCCTTTGGAGGAGGTCATTGACCTACTATTGATCGTGTGCATCATCACGAGTCAAGGTGAGAAAAAAGGCGTAGACAATTACAATCATCAGGGGTTGGGGGGGAGACCATAGTAAGACTTTGCCTCACTATACCATGTGTGTGATTGGAGTCACCTGAGGCAAGGTATGAAGCACCTGGGAAGGAATCTAATCTCAGGACTGCATTGTATGCAGGTGGCTAATAGCTGGTGTTGTAAGCCACCACCTCTGTTCAGCAATGGTCATCCACAGTGGATATAGATGGCCTCTTTTACTCCTCTCTCAAACCATATGTCTTATTGGTCCATGCACTTGTGGAGTGGCTGTTTGCAATCTGCTATTTAGACATCCAAGCACTTGTCACTGCATGGCACACACTACATTGTTTAGCTTGTATTTGGGAGTTTTGTCTTTGAGTTGACAAAACATTTTTGTCTAATGGCATGGCTGGATCCGAAGTGCACGGGGATGTCATGGTTGGAGAGAATTCTCCTCAGTTTCTTAAACAAACCTGCTACATAAGCAATGGCAATGTTGTTTGGTTTGTCATTCAGTTTCTCCCTAGTTGGTATCTGACTTTTTTTTTCTGTGCATCTTTGTGGATTTCTGGTGAGGTGAGATGTCTTCAGAAACTTTAAAAAGTCCATGTTCTTTTTTTTAAGCTCTTAAGAGTACCATGAATGGATGACTGAGAACCTACACAGACATCCAGCTCCATACTACATAATATACAAAACAGCCTTTGCTGCATTTGCAGTGGAAAGAGTGATGAAAGTATTTATATTCAAAACAATCATCATGTATAGTAAATCCTCTAATGGATGTGCTTGTTAGTTCCAAAGAAAATAAAATTTCCTCACAGCAGACATTCATTCACTATGCATAATAAGAAAAGAAGTGGAAATATTATTAGTGGCTTATTAATAAACTGTAACAGTGTGAGAGTGAGCCACCAATCCAAGTAACCAGAAAACTGAAACCAAACACAGCTAAATTAAATTTAGTCATCAGTATTTAGTGTTTATTATCTGTGCTTCCCCTACTGGGACAAAACCAAATATTTTGTGTTTAAAACTTGCATACTAATACCAATTACAGCATCCTACAAAGATCAGTAGTACATACACATAGTATATAATGTATACTTTTAGTACCAGAGAAGAAATCAGTGATCTATTGCCACCACAAAGGCTGTTAGCCACAGTAAAGCAGAAGCAGGTTCTGTGGTCCCCCTGATGTAAGTAACTGACAGAAACCATGAAGCGCCATAGAAACCACAACAAAGAGCTGTAAAAACCAACGCCTTATAGTTATAAAGTGTTATAAAGATATTAAGAAATAAGCGACAAACAGCACAGACGCTTTGTCACCTGAACTCTGACTGAAACAGAGTTTAAGTGGTGGGTGTAATGCAGTACACTGTTATCAGCAGTAACCATACCTTATTAATGGCACACTCACAATCATTCTGACAGACTAGACGTGATCTAAGTTACTTTTGTTTTGCAGGTTGGACGTAGAAAATTAACATCTTCTTATCACTGGAAAGTTCCTTATCTAAATGTCCAGTTACATGAGCGCAAATCTACAATCAGCTCATGTCGCTTTTCATTTCCTGTTTTAGTGTGACCTAACTTTTGTGACTCTTTAGTAAAAAAGTGAAAAAGTAAATACGTTTTTAAAAAAAAAACAATCTACCGCAAATTTTATGGATTGGTTCTTTAGTCTTTTTTTGTAATTCGTCCATTTGACAAAAATGAACTACCTTCTAGCTTTCTTTATGCACTGAGGGTCGTGTGTCAACTCCATCAGGGTATCCTTTAAGCACAGAAAGACTGGGTTTGAAACTCAAACAGAAGCAACCGTTGCGATGCAGCAGGAAATTACATATTGCTAAATCTGACAGGTGTGTTTAGAAAATCACTAGAAAAGTGCTGAGTCATTATTTGTAACTTGCATAGCCACTCCCACAGAGAGAGTTTTGTTTTTTTTACAACTACATTTCTCACAATAGCAAGCATGCACTCTAGATATGTGTCCTTGAATGGCATATTGAGACCTCTGTGGGCTGCAGCTGGCAGCTGAAATTGGCCACTGACCCTTCACTATGCAGCTATCACATTACTAATTATGTATTATAAATATCACTGCTCACCATGCTTCAATTGAGAACTAAAATTGCATCCCCAGACTTTATTTGGCTTAAGGCAAAGGCACAAAACACTATGGCTTTATTTGAAGCATCCCTAATGAACAATGCTTTCTGAACTCTTGTTTGTAGTTAACTCTGATCTTTGGCCTTCCAGCTGCACCCACATGCCAACAATATCAGGCTCCACACAGCCCATTCAAGAGTAGGCGTGCAGAGGAGAAACGCTGTGGAGATCCCACACCTTAAACCTCCTTTCCTATAGGTGTCACTATATGCGGACGCCCCACCCCACTTCAGTCTACTCCTCATCCCACCCACTAAAGCTCCGCGAAAGGGTGTGCTTTTTGAAGGCTGTATGAGGCTATAATACAGCTGCAGACAAGTCAAGTCGCCACTTGGTTTGACACCCCGGGAAAAAAAAGCCCCCGAGGCAGAGGGGGAGCATACGCACAAGTACCCCCACCCCTCGGATCCTCCGTCTGAGCTCAGCACAGGGTCTAGTCTCTCCGGACATACCGTGGAGATGCGGAACACACGAAGGTTAATATAAAAAAAGTTGGTGTAGTCGGGGCACACGGTAAACACATAATGTGGCAGCTGCCGTGTAGCTTCTATTCAAGGTCAGTATCTGAGCACGGCCGCCGCACGGACGACTGTCTTAGGTAGGAGGGGGAGAGAGGAAACGCTGAAGGGATGCCGCTGTGCCTCATTTACCTCCAGCATCAACGATGACATCTTCCACCGAAGAAGACGTTGATAGTCAATGACAAGGAAACGGACAAACTTGTGAAACGCCGCTACGAAGAGCAACTGAGGGCACTGGACTGTTGTAAAAGAAAAAAGACACTCTTTCAGCATCTTGGCGTTTCCTGCTTTCTTTCCGCAACGACTTGTGCTGGAAGCGGCTGTTTACCTGGCTACAACAAGCGAAGAAGTCTAGCTAGCTAACGTTAACTGACATAATGAGGGTTCTGGTTCGGTTTCGCTTTGCTTCAGTGTCAGTTTGACGAACTGACTGTCAGAATCTTCTACGGTTGACGAGTTTTAACTAACGCGACACTACGAAGCGATAACTGGCACAACTTCCTTAAACTTGCCCGGTTTTTCAAGCCGACTTGTTAAAAAAACCCAAACAAACTCGGATTCATTTTCATTCAAGGTCGCCTTTATTTTTCAGCAGTAATGCCTTCCAGGACTGTGTCACACGGGGCTTCGGGCCGCCTTCGTGGACTGTTCTTGGTGATGGTTTTAGTGTTTCTGGAGGGCTCCGTGTTTACCGTCGCTGTTGCCAGCTCCGACCAGCATTCTCCTATCACGGCACACTCGGGCAGCCACAAAGCGACTGACCATGGCAGTCACAACAACACTGGAAAGGCTTTCCCTGTGCTAGACTTGAACTACGAAAACGTGCGGGTCCCGTTTGAAATCTCATTATGGGTCCTCCTTGCCTCTTTGATGAAATTAGGTGAGTGTGATGTTATGCGAAAGCTCCACGTGACCTGTCAGTATGAGTGCAGCCTTTTCTGGAAATACCTGATTTAGTGTTACCTTATTTACCCAAATTCTATAAGTCTCTCTCCTACATCAGGTAACAGACAGTTTTTCAGGTGAATAATTACATTATGAAAAACACGCAGAATTACAGTTCATAGAAGGTACATTTGAATCAAAAGAGTTGAGTTAAAGTGCAGTTTTCCTGGTGATCAGATAGTAGATCGCACAGATAAATCACATGGAATGGAAGTTGTCAAGCAAACCAACCATAATCTTAAAGCATCATGTTTGACCCCTAGGCCACCCTACTTGTGTTGTGCATTAATGATGACTCTGGTATGCAGACTTAACTAGTTTGCTCAAAATAGCTCAGCTCAGTCTGTGAGAGGGCAAATCAATATTGCTGTTCAGGAAGATTACTCATCGGATCTGCCAGTGTCATGTGGTGAAGATGTTTAAGAGCTATATTCACTCCCTGCTACAATGATGACTAAGCAACCTGATACAGCAGTCTGGATATGTAGTCTTCAGCACAGTGGCGCCCTACCTCTACCTTGCAGTATTGTCCTGAGCGATGTTTCAGAAGCAGCTTGCTTTCCCCCCCCCCTTACTGTTTGTGTTCTCCTTTATACTGTCTTTACCATCAATTTCTCCTGGCTTTCTGCTTTCTACAGAACACTGTATTGTCCTGAGCCATCTCTTTTTTTTTTCTTTTTTTTTAAAATTATGAGAGCCAGCAGCTTGTCACTTGCCTGTGACATCAGGGGCCTGACTGAGCAGCAGCCTGTAGCCAGGGAGGATACTGCCTCACTGTCTGGGCAAGAAGCCCAGTATCTCAGGGGAGAGGACAGGAAGAGGGTCCACCTGGTTTGGGTAGCTTACTTGTTAGGATGCAGCTCAAGGACACACAGTAAAAATGATAGATGAGCATTGGCAGAAAGTGTGAGCAGAAGGAATGAGGAAAGTACAGAAAGTCGAAGAAAGGCAAATTAAAAAAATGAGACTAGATGAATGTGTAGGCTGACAGCAGCAGAGGACAGTGGTGACCTTAAGCCTCCGATTATCCCTTGACTACTTAAAATGGGCTCTGAACGATTCAAAGTGGCTGCTACCCTGCTCTGCCTCAGCCATGTCTCTGATTCATGTTCACTGAATTTATATCTTACAAGCTAAAAAGCGTATTCACAGACCATTTGTCTCTGAAGCAACCTTGACTGTGCATGGTGCCTTTTCTCTGCCTTTTTTCAACTGAGCACTTTACATAAATTGATTATAGCCACCCCCAAATCTTCTCAGATGAATCAGAACCAGGGGATGCAATTTAACTGACAAACTGCCATTACCGTAAACACTGGTTAAGAGTCAAAGCCTTTATATTCGCAAGGTATCTATTTTTGTCTCTGTAATCAGGCCATAAACACTGTACCACAAATATCATAGCTTTAGGGTCACAAGATAAGATAAGTCCACTTGAAGTGCTAGATAGATAGATAGATAGATAGATAGATAGATAGATAGATAGATAGATAGATCTCATAAAAACATGTCGTCTTTGTGTTAAGAGCAAGGCTGTGTTTGCAAGCATCCATTTTTAAAAAATTATGTTTTCTTTAATCGGGATGAAAAATATGCTTTAGCTGAATTTCTTTCCACATTTAGCATGAGTGTAATTTGTTACTTAGTAGAAATTAGATTGCAACCTGAGCCTTATTTATTTCTTGTAGGGAAGAAAAAAAAGGAATAGATCCTAACATGAAATGGCCATTGCTTTTTTTTAAGTTGTAAGCAGATTTGTGATCGTGTGATATAGGCTTGTAGTGATAGATAAAAGAGTAAAACAATACCTACACAGATTTCCTATCCTCTCTCATAAAAAAAACAAAACAAAAAAAACCAAGCCCCCGTGGCTGCAAAACATTGCAGTTCTTCTAGCAGTCCCTCAAGGTTGGCATATAAAGCACATGTATCTCCACAGACTCTTATTTTAAAATATCCTTAAAATATCCAACCTTACAACAATAATAACTCTAAAAAGAACAGTTTTGGCCTTTATGGATAGTTCCCTCTCCTTTAACTTGTCTATCTGCATAGTGGAAAAAGGGGTTTGACCGCTTTGACTGACAGTTTTCTTGACATAGAAAACTGTAGCCGATTGGTGTTTGGGAGGCCTCACCTCATCTAAGTTTAGTCTGTGAACTGGGCCTTTATCAGACAAATAGCTGTTAGGGTTACAGGGCAGGAAGTTTTTTTTCCCTCAGCCAGAGTTAAATACTAGTATATTATTAGCCTGTGTCTTAGTAAATTAGCAGATACTTGTGTCTGTGCACTGTAACATTACAGTTTCTGGAGGCAGCTTGTTAGCCAACGTTAGCTTATAAGTTAACACTCCACCCTCTCTCCAAATATGGTAAGTTCCGGTTTCAAAACACTAGCATTGCAGTGGCCAAAACGCTAACAGTGACACTTCAGAATTCAGAGTCCAAAACTAAAGAGGAATGTCATAAAGGTGTTTTGTTTTGGTTTTTTTGGCTATACAAATTATGGTTATCAATCACTGTGGCTTAAATGTGTGCCAGACTTTGCCATAATATGGAAACAGGTTATAACTTTAAGTGAATGAAGGCATGCATTTCTATCGCTCAGAAAATCCCACATTGAGTGGGCATATATGTGTAAGTGTATGGTTTTGTTGATGTTAACTAAAAAAATATGGCCTTGTTAAACAATGAGAAGAAGAACATAATCAGTGCCAAAACTCAACCCAGAATTGCAGCTCCAGCAGTTAATAAAATTGCTGATGGTGTTACATGTCTTTTGTGGTACCTTTTCGCACTTTTAACTGTTTTCATGTCTGTGGTGACGTCTTTGTTTCCTTCCTGTTTTTAAACTTGAGGGATTGCAAGCTTGTGGTTTGATTTGTTCCCATTTGTGACTTGTAATCACTAGAAACTGTGTTTGAGTCGAGATTCTGAAGCTGTTAGGCTAATTTGTTTGCTTAGTAAATGATCCCCCAGGTGACGCTCACAATACTTATTTATTTTTTTCTCTCATTGTAGGTTTTGTTTTTTTGTTTTTTGTTTTTTCCAGCTACTATATATTGTTGAAGCAGCCTGCCAGAGTCAACCAAGGCCTGGCTTATGAGTAATTCAAGTTGTAAAGAGTGTGCGGCCTAAGACGTGATTCTTGATTTTTGCAGTAGAACTAAACAAGTTAGATATGGGCCTTAGGTTGTGTGGGAAATATTCCCAGTACAGAATTTGAAACCAAACCCTTGGCAAAGAATGACTCACTCTGTCACAAAGTCTACTCCACATACCTGTATGGTGTTATTTATTAAAACCAAGCCCAGATTTTTTTAACAAAGAAAAGTATTGAACTGCCACACTTACAGAGAAATATCTTTGCTTAAAAATGCTTACAGTAAATACCAAGTGTGTTCATGCAAAAGGCTTTTAAAGCAATTGGACATATTGACCAACTGGTTTAATGGTTTATAATCAGATATAATCAGCTATATCTCAGTTTAATTTAGAAAATTGCCTCATGGGTAGATAAATGCAATACACAGCCATAGAAAGAAAGTTGCTTTACTAATATTTTAAAGTAAGTCATGGCAAATCAGGCAACAGCATCGAATTTTCATCCTTTTCTTTTTCACTGCTTTCAGTGTTTAAAACCTCAATCTATTCGCTTAAAAACATGTGTTCAACTGACACTAGTTATGCTCACTAAATTGTACTCCACTCAGTTGTTATAGTAGAAGACAAAACTCAGAATCATATCCTTGCAAGGAAACCCCTGCGGTTGTTTTGTATAGATATGACGTCAGGGATCATACTAAATTATACCACCACAAGGCCGTAATCAATAATTCAAAAACAATGCTGTGTTCCACAAGCAACTTGACCCCAATGGTCTGCACTGAACAATAACTCACAACAACTTTTATACAACACTTAACTGGGACTGCATCTCACTAAAATACATGCAAATCTTGGCCTCTCTGTGAACGTCAATGTTATGGTGTTGGAAAGCTGCCTGCCGTATCACAATTACTACAAAGGAGACCAGATGAACGTCACCATTTTAAACAAAGAAACTCTTTAAATATGTTTGCTATCTTTTGTGTCTGCTTAATACAGCTGATTTGGTTGCCAGTGGTTTGTAGTAAGTTACCTGGCAACAGGGCACACTTCCTGGTTTTGGGAATGACAGTGTAGTTCGTACTAGGCAGTACTGACACTGGGTACACATCCAGAATTGAAAGAGCTGTTACCCTTTGCTAGTTTTCAATAACCTCGTTGCATAAAGGCTCCCAGGAGGCAATGGGGCAAGGACACAGCAGCTGCCCTTATTGAAAAGCAGCCATGAGAAACTGCCTAATCTTCTACTTTAAGAGCATGGCATGAAAAAAAGTCTTTATTATCTTACACACTACATGGCCCTTCAGACATTTATTTCCTACATACCCATGTCTTAATCATGATAGAGTTGTGTACCAGCTTGTGCCAGTGTTCTTTGAAGTTCACTTCCCTCCTTTTCTCTATCTTATCTTCTGTGTTATTACCCTTCATTAGATGATTGCTGAAGGCCATAGTTGGAGTTGTGCTTAAGAGATTTAACAATGTGCTGTCAACACTTAGCTTAGGATGGGTTGTTCAGTCTACTTTAACTTAACCTTTAGCCCCCAATATTGCATGTGTTAAGAATTTTATATTTAGAAGGGTCTGTAATGATAATGGCATACATGTCCAGCATCTACAATCACTCATGAATGATAATGGCACATTTAGTTTCATTCTTGGGTCCAGTATTAAGTTTGCCTCTGCTCAATGCACCAGCAGAAATACATTTATACCATACAGTTGTGACCTGTTTCCCCTTTCCTCAAGTACCATACTGCCCAACCTTTTATCAAAGGGCTTTGTGTTTCTTTGCAACACTCAGTCATTAGAGCAGTTTAGAAATGTTTTGCAGGGGTATTTCATGTCCTTGAGATTGAACTTTATTTTATTCTAGATTCAATCAGTGTCAATCAGAAGACCACTTTGCAGAAGGGATCTTCTGTTTGTCTTCTATTAATACCACTGCTGGCTTCCCACCCTCTTACATCTTTTGAAAAAAAGAAAATGCTTTGGGAAAAACCGTACATGTGATGTAGATTCCCTTTATTCAGACTCACAGTTGGGTATAATGAGATGCTCTTTTCTTTGAATAAGGCTACGTTCACACTGCAGGTCTTAATGCTCAATTTCGATTTTTTTTTTTTTTGATCAAATCCGATTTTTTTTCTTTTTATCTGCTCGTTCACACTACAAATAAAATGTGACAGCAAACGTGCTCTAGTGTGAGCCCTCAAAGCGGCCCGCATGCGCAAAAGAAGACGTCACACACAACGCACTCTGTTTAGACCCAGAGCAAACAATATTGTTTGACTGTTTCAGACTTTACGTTTCCCAATTTTTCTCTAAGTTATAAAGTTATTTTGTTATTTACCTTCACGATGTCTTCTCGGGCACTTCTCCGGTGCTGATAATTGGCGTCTGTCCTGCGTCAGTGACGTAAAAGACAGATTTGATGCGACATGACCATTCAAACATCAGTCGCTTTCTAAAACATCAGATATGTATTGGATTCAGTACCACATGCAAAAGTGACCCAGATCGGATTTGAAAATATCGGATTTGTGCTGTTCACACTGTCATACCATGATCGGATATGGGTCGCATAGGGTCCAAAAAGTCAGATTCGATGCGCTTTTGCCTGCAGTGTGAACGTAGCCTTAAAGCTCTCTCCTGGTGTGACGAGAAGTTTAGACTTGTAAAATCTTTGTATGACACTTTGTGCTTTCTGTGTGAGCATTGCTAAAAAAAAAAATCATATTCATTTAAGTTACAGGACTGTGTTAAAGTCATGTGGCGCCTCTCATTTTTTATGTTTTGATAGGAATGTGGGAAATGGGTGAAGTGATCTATTGAAATGTGCAAGCAAAAATGGAAATGGGTATAAGATGAAAATAGTAAACTATTCCTGAAGATGTACTTTAATCTTCAGGAATAGTTGTCCGGGCTTGAAGAACATTCAAAGCTCTCTGGATTTTGGCTTCCTTTTGCACTGTTCTTTGCCAAGATAACCCAACAGTCCTTTAATAATGTTGAGATTCCGGCTCTGGGGAGACCAATCCATGACTGACAGTATTCCAATGTATGTGTGTAATGTTTTGGGGGTTTTTTGGGGGGGGCGGGGTCAATACAGTTTGGGATCATTGACAGGCTGAGAAATGAAACTGTTGCAATTATTTATGCATTATCAAGGAAGCAAAAGGATAAATGGATATGACCTACCACAGTTGTTGGCAGGCATTTTTGTGTAAAATGTTATCATGGGTATTAATTATGAGGAAGGCCTTTCACTTTAAGTTCTGTTCAGCTGAGTACCAATTAGCTTAGCTTGGGGTGTGCAGGCTGATTTGTGTAATGTGATGTCCCCCACACTAACAGATATCCCTGTAGTGTTGATGCCTGCAACACGTTTAGAAGAAGCTTTGTAATTATGTAACCGTGTCTATGGGAGTCGAGATGTTGTAATCACCAAGGTGCTAATTTGTGGTGCTAATTTAGCCTTATATTTGAAGCCTCTTAAGAGCACATCAACCCTCTCTTCTGAGAAGACACTGTGTTTTGGAAAATTCCAGAAAGAGCAGCAGAATTTCCATCCTGCTCACATCCCATCCTTTTGGCTGAAATTTCATAAAGTTCTCGTTTACTGTGTTCAAGCAGTTCTCATAGAATATCTTTGTTGACCCAGTTGGATACTGAGCTTCCCAGGAGGTTTAGGTGACGCTCTTTTTCTTTTTATATTAAGGTTATTTGAAAGAGCAGCACTTGAGTTCTGGCATCTTATCGTGGGGAAATGAAGTCTTCTTAGACCAGTTAAGATAAAGCCTCTAATCCTGCAGCTGTGTGACGCACAGACATGCACTTGTTGAGCTTTCTTTTTCTGAAACACTGTTAATGTTGTGCTCAAGCTGCCCTAGCGTGAAACACACCAAGACCACCCTCACAAATGCCCAACTTCTGATGTTGGTGTTTTACATACCGTTAAGACATGTATGCTTATGTGCTTTCACTATAAATTATGCGTTGCGTTGTAGCAATAAACGTGCATACTGGCATGAAGGTCTGATATTTACATGAGAAACAACCTGTATTATAACTGAGAAACATACTGTACTATGCACTAATTGGTTCATTCATTTAGCGTGCCAATAATCACATTGTGTAAAAGTAAGCCAATCAGAGGGACCATCTTCATGCCTCATCTCTCCTTGTTCAAAAGAGGGGTAACAAATCCAGCAGCTATTATTTCAGGTGGTACTGCTTTCAGGCACCAATCACTTTTGTCCTATGATGATTGAACTTTGTAACTATGTTGCTCACTGATAGTTTCACATGCGCTATTTTAGATGAATGTATTCAATATTAAAATACCAAATTTATTGATTTACAGTGTAAAATGATCTTTCCCAAAAATATTGTTTTGTCTGGATGTGTTGTTGTAACCCTGCCCTGTTTAAGTTTCTGTTTATGCTGTGTTATTTATTACACTGCCAGCAAAATACTGACACATACCTGTGTACAGTAAAAACAGCCCCACTGTGGGATGCCTACTGCTGTCCCTTTTGAAGTCTTTATTTACTGTTTTTCCAAAAGTTGCAGTTGTTCCGTTGCCTCAACATGGATAGGCAACTTGTGTATGTATTTTGATAATCAGAAAGATAGGCTTTCAAAGACACACTGGATATGTCGTTTGTTGGGAGTGGCAAAGTCTTACTGTGAGCATACCGTATTGACAGACTCTGTGCTTTGACATGAGCTATGTAGCCTCAAGCCATACCACCTGATTGGGAAAGGTTATTTCAGTTCTCTGGAATGTCCACCAAATTAGATTAGCTGATCAAATAAAAATTTAATGTAAATTAAATAATAAAAATAAAGGTAAAATATAGCACTTATGGATTGTTTCATGTCCTGAACGTAGGGCGATAGTAACTTTATTTAAACTGCACGCTTGACTTTGTTGGTCTCTCGTGTCTCTTACGATCTGTCTACATTATATCTTTTGCATGTCATTTTCATTTTTTTTCCTTCAAGAGTACATAAGGTGATGGTGTTAGGATCAGGGGTTACACAGGTCTTTAACATACCAGCAGCTGCAGTTTTTTTTTTTTTTTTTATTAAGATGTTGGAATGAGTACGTGAGGACAGGCAAGCTTTGGCAAGTCTATACAGCCCACACAAAATTCTTCCTTTTGCATTTCCTGCCTATATCACCAGTGCAGAATGGTGCATTTCATGCTGATGTTAACAGTGATGAATAAATTCAGAAGCTTATTTTTTGTGCACTATTTTAAAATAAATAAATAAATAAATAAAAATAAATCTAAAGCACAAGAAGGAATTAGCTGTGTGGGTGGTAGCATAACACATAAGTGATGTATGTTACAGATGATTGCTTGTGGTTAGTTCTGTGTAATCTCTGTAAAGCAGAAAAGAGCTCGAAATAATTCCAGTTAATTTCAGGGTGTGTCCACACTATTTGTTTATTACTTATCATTTAACCCATAAACCAACACAATTATTATTATTATTATTTTTTTTTTCACTTAAGATCCATTTCCTTCGATTTTCACATTGAATTTGTATTACTTCTGTTTTGTAGTTGACAGTGAGTACAGGTGGTCAATACTATATATGCAAACCTTCTGCTGCTCATATCAAGCACTTGTTCATGTTTGTCTCTTCTTTTGTTTCCATCCAGGGTTCCATCTGGTTCCTCACTTATCCAACATTGTGCCAGAGAGCTGCCTGTTGATCGTGGTGGGCTTGCTGGTAGGGGGAATCATCAGAGGTACTGGTGAAACAGTCCCACCAGTGTTGGACTCTAAATTGTTTTTTTACATCCTGCTGCCCCCCATTATCCTGGATGCTGGCTACTTCCTGCCCATCCGTCCCTTCATGGAGAACCTGGGCACAATCCTGATATTTGCTGTCGTGGGTACTCTTTGGAATGCCTTCTTTGTTGGGGGCTTGCTATATGGTGTGTGTCAGATTGGTACAGAAAGCAGTTCAATCCTTAGCAGAATAGGGCTTCTGCAGTGCCTGCTCTTTGGTTCCATCATATCAGCTGTGGATCCTGTTGCTGTGCTTGCTGTGTTTGAGGAGATCCACATCAATGAGCTCTTGCACATCCTGGTGTTTGGCGAATCACTACTCAATGATGCCGTAACTGTGGTGAGTGACCAAACTGCAGTCTAAGTAGTACAGTAGACTGATATATATGAGGCAGACATTTTTCAGGCTACAACTGTTTGGCATTTGGCATTCTGCTGATTTGTTTACCTGGCATTACAGGGACTAGTATATACATTTTATTCATACAATGTGTAACCAGCCCAGAGGCCAAATTTATTTTCATGTTAAAAAATAAAAGGAGCTTCACAGTCAGCAAACAATGCATTCTGTCCTTAGCCCCTTGACTGGATTGACTAAGACATTAGTTCATGTCCTTATCACCCATCATAATCCTGTTTCTTAAACTATTCTCCTACCAATTCATATTCATTAGTTAGTACCTTTTTTTGTTATTCAGTTTTTCTTCCCTCTTTCACTCTCCCTCTTGTAGGTATTGTACCACCTGTTTGAGGAGTTTTCAGGCATTGGCTCAGTGACACTGTTGAAAGGCTTCCTGGGAGTCATCTCCTTCTTTGTAGTCGCCCTGGGTGGCGTTCTAGTTGGAGTTCTGTACGGGATCCTCGCTGCCTTCACCTCACGCTTCACCTCCCACACGCGCGTCATCGAGCCTCTTTTTGTCTTTTTGTACAGCTACATGGCCTACCTGTCTGCTGAGATATTCCACCTCTCCGGCATCATGGCGTAAGTTTGTTCAAGTCTGGTATATAACAACTCACGAAAACCCCAGCGTTATAACACATTGTCAGATTGTGTTCTACATGCAGGATATGGCAAAATTGAATCTCAGTATTACTCTATATAATGAATAAGATTATTCCGTTTTACTGTGCAATATCACTGAATTTTAAGTGATTCAAAGTTGTGTACATTTACAGTAATTGTACCACTGCTAAGTTGAAATTCATGGTACTTGAGTAATAATAATGGGTTGCATTTATATAGCGCTTTTTGAGACCCTCAAAGCGCTTTACAATTCCACTATTCATTCACTCTCACATTCACACACTGGTGGAGGCAGCTACAGTTGTAGCCACAGCTGCCCTGGGGCAGACTGACAGAAGCGAGGCTGCCATATCGCGCCATCGGCCTCTCTGGCCATCACCAGTGGGGGGTAGTTGAAGTGTCTTGCCCAAGGACACAACGACCAAGACAGACAGAGCTGGGGATAGAACCGGCAACCTTCCAGTTACAAGATATATAAATGCAATCCATTATTATTATTATTATTATTATTATTATTATTATTATTCCAGTGAAACCTAGTACACATTGTGACCAGTGCAGCAAGACACTAAGCAAGCAATTTCCAGTTAAACTGAATGTAAAATTGTCCATGTCAAAGTCTCTAAATACCATAAACTTTGTCACCTTTGGCCTGTTGTTTTATCTAATGCTTCATAGCTCCACATGTTAAGAAACTGAAACTAGCAAAACACCAGGCTGAGAGACTTCACAGTGGTCGGATGGTATTAGTAGGCTGTTGAAACATAGTTGCACTGGTGATTGGGTGGTGTAGAAACTGCTCCGCTACCAAAAACAGGGGTTGGCCTAATCAGAAAAGTAAGTAAATGGAATACAATTAAAATAAAATGATCACTGTCGATAAGAACCTCACCAGTCCCTTACTGGATGGCACATATGTTTAAATTCATCCACTTAATCAAGATGACTAGCTTGTCTGGCATTGTGACACGTTTAATTCACCTGTTAAGAATGAGAATGTCTGAAGTGTATGTAAACCAGTGGGAGATCACCAAATTATATTTAACTGTTTCATTCACATACAATGTGAATGATCCAGCCGACCTTCGTTAGTCGAAATTAATAGATAGATCTTTAATCCCTCTTTTAATGTCTTCATAGTTTTTTTTTTTCTTTCAGTTTTGTTTTGTTTGTTGTTTAAGAACAGTCTGAAACTTGAAGAGGAACCTGACCCATGTTGGATGTTGGCTAATCAGTGCTGTGGGTGGGACTATCGCAGCCGTAAAGCTGCCAGAATGAGGTCTTGTTTTTTGGCGGGGGGTTTTCTCCACACTTATTGCTTGTACAACTGTACAACAAATGGAGAAATATGTTGAATTGTTCTCACTCCACTGCACTCTTAGAACCCCAGCAAGCAGTATAATGGCATGACTACACATCTGAGCTGAAATCCGAAATGACTGATCAGTTGGGGAAAAGCTGAATTTCATCACCCATGGAAACTAGTTACAAAGAAGAAGAAGTTCTTCCTGATTCCAACATAGCGTTACATTGAGTGAGATACTCTTGTTGTACTGGACCTCTCCTCAGTGTTTAGATGCCATAATCTTTATATATTCTTACCACTGGGTGAAAATTACACTTCTTATATACGTTCAGGAAAATTATATTTTATATATAGCCAGTGGTTTGGGAAACTAATCTAATGCCACCTGAACCAAGCTAGGATTTAGTGGCATGTCTGTGAAGGTTCTCAGTCATCCAGGTCATTGTAGTCAAAGGAGCTTGCAAAGAAAAGCGTCTGGACTTCTTTAAGTTGCTTGAAGACGTTTCACCTCTCATCCGAGAAGCTTCTTCAGTTCTAAGGTCAAATGGTGGAGAGTCCCAGATATAAACCTAGTGGGAGTAACCCCCCACAGAGGGACAAAAGGACCCCCTGATGATCCTCTAATCGCCTGAGCCAAGGTGTGAAACTGGGTGTGGGTCCCAATCAGCCAGAGTTTCGGGTGAGTTCATTGTGAAACCTGGCCCCACCTTATCATGCGAATTCCTGAGATCAGATGGCCCAGGATGTGAGTGGGCGTTAAGGCGTCTGGGAAGGGATCTCAAAACTGGATTATAGATGGCAGAGAGTTGGTGTCGTAAACCCCGCCTCTGTTCAAAGATGGTCGCTCACAGTGGACATAGATGGCTTCTTTCACTCCTCTTTCAAACCATCTGTCCTCTCTGTCCAAAATGTGAACATTGGCATCCTCGAAAGAGTGTCCTTTATCCTTAAGATGCAGATGGACTGCTGAGTCTTGTCCTGTGGAGGTGGCTCTTCTGTGTTGTGCCATGCGCTTGTGAAGTGGCTGTTTGGTCTCTCATGTAGACTGACACCTGGGTCAAAATCAAGACACAAGAAGTGGAATCCTTCACTGCGCACATTAACGCTGTGGATAAAAACATCAAGTTCACCAGGGAAGACACAAAGGACAACTGTTTGCCTTTCCTGGACTGCGCTGTGCACATTGAAGAGAACGGCAACCTCAACATCGAAGTTTACCGGAAGCCCACACACACGGACCAGTACCTCCTGTTTGACTCCCATCACCCTCTGGAACACAAACTTGGAGTAATTAGGACCCTACACCACCGGGCAGAACATGTTCCCTCTAAGCCTGAAGGAAAAAAGAAGGAACACACACATGTAAAGGAAGCACTCAAAACGTGCGGCTATCCTAAATGGGCAGACGCAACAACATTGTCATCCCCTATGTAGCCGGTGTATCAGAAAAACTCAGGAGAGTTTTCTCCAAGCATGACATCCCAGTGTATTTCAGACCCAGCAACACGCTCAGACAAAAACTGGTTCACCCGAAAGACAAAACGCCAAAACACAGACTTAACAATGTGGTGTATGCTGTACAGTGCAGCGAGGAATGCTCAGACCTCTACATTGGAGAGACCAAACAGCCACTTCACAAGCGCATGGCACAACACAGAAGAGCCACCTCCACAGGACAAGACTCAGCAGTCCATCTGCATCTTAAGGATAAAGGACACTCTTTCGAGGATGCCAATGTTCACATTTTGGACAGAGAGGACAGATGGTTTGAAAGAGGAGTGAAAGAAGCCATCTATGTCCACTGTGAGCGACCATCTTTGAACAGAGGCGGGGGTTTACGACACCAACTCTCTGCCATCTATAATCCAGTTTTGAGATCCCTTCCCAGACGCCTTAACGCCCACTCACATCCTGGGCCATCTGATCTCAGGAATTCGCATGATAAGGTGGGGCCAGGTTTCACAATGAACTCACCCGAAACTCTGGCTGATTGGGACCCACACCCAGTTTCACACCTTGGCTCAGGCGATTAGAGGATCATCAGGGGGTCCTTTTGTCCCTCTGTGGGGGGTACTCCCACTAGGTTTATATCTGGGACTCTCCACCATTTGACCTTAGAACTGAAGAAGCTTCTCGGATGAGAGGTGAAACGTCTTCAAGCAACTTAAAGAAGTCCAGACGCTTTTCTTTGCAAGCTCCTTTGATTTAGTGGCATGTATAGCATTTTCTGACATACCATTTCATCAGCTCTTGTAGTACGTAGCAATTGATTTTCTGTTTACTTTCAGGCTGTTTAAGATTGCAGGTCTTACTGATGTTCCTGACGGGAGGTGCTGATGCAGTTAGTCTCACCCCTAAGTCAGGAATGATGGATATGTAGCTTCAAGGACAATCCTTTGCCTGCAGCTGTGTTGCCCCTCATATTAAAATCTGGATTTGGTTTTCTGTATTACTGGTCTGTGAAAGAGGAAAGAAAGAACTTATTGATGTGATTTCCTTTTATCATTTCTGCAAAACCTTGAAAGGCAATACTGACAAGGAGGAGGAATGTTGACCAGCTGCTGTGGATTATTGAGCATATTTGTCAGTTGCTTTTGACCCTTTTTTGACACACAAACATTGCATGACTAGATTAGAACAGGGAGGTGGCTGCCAGACAGGAATTGTGAGATAACTTTGTTTATTTTTCCAAATTAGTCCGTAACTGAACCTCTGAGCTTTTTTTTTTTTTTTTTAAAGTGGTCACTCTAACTGGCAGCTCAGGAAAACTGGTACTACTTTTAACCATGTTTTCCTTTTAAAACATAAAGTGGTTCTGTGTTATATGACTGTATTGTGGTCAATAATGTTTTCAATTGGATGAGAAATGAGACCAAAATAACCCCACATTAATTGTTTCTGTATATCTAAAAAAAATTCTGTTATTACTATTTCTCTTCCCAGGTTAATAGCATGCGGCGCCGTGATGCGACCCTATGTGGAGGCCAACATATCCCACAAGTCCCACACCACCATTAAATACTTCTTGAAAATGTGGAGCAGTGTCAGTGAGACTCTAATCTTTATTTTTCTGGGAGTGGCCACGGTTGCTGGACCTCACGATTGGAACTGGACCTTCGTTACTGTCACAGTCATTCTGTGTCTTGTTGCACGGGTTATAGGTCAGTCCTGCTTCTGTATTTTTGCACGACTTCTTCAAATATATGCATGAAAGCAAATTTCAAGTGTGACATAGTGTATGCAACAGAGGAATATATTTGTTATATTACTAGCATTCAAGGTTAGTTTGCTTTTTGTTTTCTTTGGCAAAGGAGGTGATTGGGTTACATTGTGATTCGCATTCTTAATAAAAGAACTGGGATTAAGTGTTTCCATCATGTGTTATTACACAGCTGTTGGTGGAATTGCCCCTGAGGATTTCTCCACTGAGTTGTCACAAGTTCTTCTTGTTATTGATTTGTCATAGTGTGTGTGTGTGTGTGTGTGTGTGTGTGTGTGTGTGTGTGTGTGTGTG